CAGCACCTATGCTGGCCTCATCCTCCCCTACTCTACCCAAGACAATTTGTCCCGTACCAAGCCCACATGCAAGGGGCATGCAAAGCAGCAAAAAGCTGCTGTGTGACTGCACACCGCTGCATGGGGTCACGCGCCGGAAGGTTATTTTGGTGACGACAGATAATTTGGTTTTGCTTTAGCTGAAAAATGAGGATCCACACTTTATGGATGTGCTGCCCATATAATGCAGTTCTTTATTCATAATTTGAAGATTTGTGATTGTTCTTATGTCAAAATGAAAAGCACTGTTAAGTTTTTCAAAAACAATCTAGTATCAGAAGCAATATATTTCAGTGTTATTCTTTAAGCATTCCAATGCATTCTGTAGCCCTGCTATACTTAATAGATATTTTTAATCTATAGTTTTCAAAAGCTTCAAATTTGCAAGAAGGTAGTTCAGTCAGCTGCTGCTAAAAAGGTGTGGGGGGGCAAGAGGGTGTAGGGGTAACTGGTGATGCCTCAGTAATCTGCACTGTCATGCTTGTATTTCAGAGGACTTCAGGACTTGGGTGTGGGCTCTAGGCAGCTGCAACAGAGGGGGAGGGGTGTGCACAGACATAGCCGCAGCCCGGCCGTGTGTGGAGTAGTGCTCAGCAGGCAAGTCTGTGAAGGGAAATTCTCCCTCCACCACACAAACACCCCACATGCACCTCCCAACTGTACAAAGCACCTGAATATTTTTGGGCAACTTCAGTTTTTCTGTGCATAATTTTGAGTTTTTAGCTATGCAATTAAAATTGCGATTAACTAATTTTTTTATTGAACAACTAATCGTGATCAGTTTTTTTAATTGACAGCTCTACTGTTATTTAATAACCTCTTCCTTTAAGTTTAAGCCACAGTTAAGTCCAGAACAGTCGGATCAACTTTTATCTTCTTTCCTGGAAAAGGAAGCACTCTGACTTTTTTGAGTTTTGAGCATTGTATAGAATGAATTACTACATAGGCTAATGGCTACACTGGCATATGGTTCTTGATGGTCTTGAAAGAAGACTGTCTCCTTAGACCCCTTCAGGAAAACATTTCTGTTCTAAAGCTCCTAAATCCAAGTTCAATTAATAGGAAAAATGGAAAACTTCTACCATAATGTCTGAAATGTTATCAGAAAGAGCTGATTGTGCAAAAAAATGGGAGACAACCAGACGTTCCCTAATGAAAATACAAGTGGCTCTTAAATCCCCCCTCCTTCACCCTATCTGAGGTTGTCGTTGTTTTCTACAAGTCAGCAGAAAAAACAACAATTCAAATAATTTGTGGCAGAAATTTGGAATCCTTCCTTTTGACACTCTCTCTTCCTATTCTTTTAATGTCATTGCCTGAGATTGACTTTTGCCACTTGCAAAACCCATCTGGTCCAAATTCCAGTATTTCTGCAGGTAAAGTTTAAAAAGCTAATAAATTACATCAACTACCACAGGAGCAGTTGACAGATTTCCACACAAATCCAGCCACTAAGTCTCTGCTGAGAGTCTAAAGATGTTTAAGTGCATTTTGTTCCTTCAGATGAGGATTGATTAAAATTCTTTTGGGAATAAAAGTGCTCTCCTCCTCTATATTTGCATGACAAATTATTAAGGTGCAGTGACAAGAGCAAGTACCATTTCTGAGACAACATATGGGAGATTGCTAAATCTCTCTCAGATGTCCTGCAAGTACTTGAAATGCCCTAGCTGCTAAAGGTCAACAGATAATGGAACATATTCTAGGCATCCCTTGATTCTTTTCATGCTTCTGTGTTTGGCTTAGGTCTTTGGGGTTCCCTCCAGGAGCTGATCCAGGATTGAGAATATCTCTGTTGAGGAAGAGTGATTCTTCAAGATTACTTTTTAAGGACCAGAACCAACCTAAAAATACATTTCTAGATCCTTTGGTGTATATTAACAATACAATAGATGAGAATTATCTGAAAAGAGCTACTGGAGAAGCAAAAAGCAATACTGTAATCAACAATGATTTTCCTCAATTTTTTTCAGGGAAACTAAGACATTTCAAACCTTGAACAAGAAGCAAAACAATCTTCAGTGTTTTCTAGGCCAGGCTTTACATCCCAAGTTCAATAAATTTCCCCAGATCTGTGATCTAATTTTAAACACATTTTCCTCCCACAGTTTTTCAAGATTGAATATGCCACTTCTTGTAGAACTTGACATCTGTAACAGAAGACAAATTGATTTTTAGAAATTAATCACAGTAAGTATCCAGTAGAATTCAAAACTGTTCTGTCTCCCAGTTCCCTGTCCTATCCTTCATTCAGAGACATACAGCCTGTCAAGAGATTCTTGCCTTTCTGAAGATACGGGCTTTAGAGGAGGTGCAAAGAATTCAGAAACATTTCATTCCAAATACTTTTGAATCCCAAAGGATGGAGGTCTGTGCTGTGTAGTGAACTTCTTTTATTAGATGATTTACAGTATTTACTCAAATCCAAGATGAGGTCCCCCTACCCCCAGTCAACACAGGAGTGGGAGAAAGGGAAAGCTTAGGTTTGAGTACTAACCTTTCCTCCTTCAAGGGTATTACAGCTTGTAAATTCATCACGTGTATCAATACACACACAACACTCAAAGGAGAAATGCAAGTTACTTATTTGTACCAAATTCATCCCTTCTTGTTTAGAATACTACTAAAACTTTAACTCTTGAGAACGTGGGAGAAGGAAACAAGGCAGCAGAGGGCACCATGTTGCCTTTAGAAGCCTTAATACATTCACAAGCATGAAAAGTAGAAAGGGCTTGTAGGCATTCTAACAAGCACTGCTTTCTGAAATACAGTAGATGTGATGATAGGAGTGTGAGGATGTGAATATCAAGAACGACAATTACAAATAACCAATCTCCAGTTACTGATGTTTCCAAAGGTTTAAAAGGCAGGACCCCCTGCCTTTCTACTGTTAATATAAGAAGGATGCTATATTAAAGAATACAGAAACAGGGCATACATCTATGTATTCATATTTGTATATTTTTATTTTGTTTTTCCCTCTTCCAATCGTCTTTTGAGAGAGCGGCACTCCCCTACCAGACTGCAAGCTGGTAACATTTTTGGTTTATGTTTCAACTAAGTTTCCAGTTGCAGGGGGTACATGGGTGACTGTTGCCTCTGGAGTGTGGGGGGGCACCAGATTGCCAACGGAGGGGGTGGTGGAGTCCCCCAGTGGCCAATTGCCGAGCCAGTGGTGAAACAGGGAGTGCACTTCTAGTTTTGTGGCTGGCGCTTCCAGGGGGTGCGTGGCTAATCTCAGGGGGTGCACATGCACCCGTGGGCACCCCCTACGCATCGCCAATGGGGTGGGGGATATTTGTTTTGTTTTGCAACGACAGCATTAAGCAAGATTTTACCGTTTTTTGTATTTGCTGTTATACCACTTTGAATGTGAATATACATGCCTTTCTCTTTTTGTACATGTAGTTATGCACCAGTTGTAATGTTTCGGATAGAATTTTTTATAACCTGTTTTTGATTCCTCCCCCTCCCCGCCATTGCAATCTGAGGATTTTCTGGTTTTCCATATGAAATGATTCATTGTCATCAAATGACGTGCATTTAGGAGCAATTATAGAATCATAGAGAATTAGGGCTGGAAGGGATCTTAGGAAGCCACCCAGTCCAACCTCTTTCTCAAGGCCAAGGCATCCTTGACTAAATCATCCCGGTCAGGTGTTTATCTAAACTATTCGTAAAAATGCCCAGGGATGGAGATTCCATGCCCTCTCTGGCTACCCTGTTCTAGTGCTTAAACATCCCCAGAGTAAGAAAGTTCTTCCTAATATCCAACCTCAATTTAAGACTTATTCCTTGCCCTCTGTGTCCAGAGGCCTCTTTCATTCATTCATCCATTCATATATATAATATAGCCTCATATGTAGGCACTGTATATTAATGAAAACTAATATAAATTAGATTGGTCCTGGCCCTGGATGGTAATGTAGAAGTGACCCATCTCAACCCTGTCAATAAGCCAAGGAAAGTTTGTGCCTAATTTTGAAAAGTATAGGAACTATTTTCTTCAATATACTCCTGGGAGCACAAAGTAGGTCAGAATGTTTTTAACATAATTTGAAAACTCTAGGTTTAACCTTGTGAATCATGTTTGTACACTTGACACTGATAACACTAAGACAACCCACAGCATCCCTAAAAGGATTTCAAGATACCCCAGAGTACCACAGCACCTTGGTTGAGACTTACTGATCTATATTCTAGCTTCTGCTACTGGAGTTGCACTGCTAACATAGCGTGGACACCCTTCTGTGCCAGCAGAGAGAGCGCTATGGAGTTGTGGGTACTCCCATTAGTTGTCCAAATCAACTCCCTAATGATTTTAACAAACTGTTCTTTCATGAATAGCATATAAAACAAGACATCCATTTTCAGACTGTTGTACTACAAGATGTTTATTGAGGCGTAAGAGTATATATTGTGTCTGTTACAACTGGAATTATCTATTTGGGATTTTTAATTTTATATAGAACATACAAATGGATACTCTATCTCTTAAAGAACAGACCAATTTAGTTACAGTGGGTGCATCTACACAAGACGCTTTACTGTGCCGTAGAGCAAATTACTGAGTAGTGAGCATCTACATCTACATGCGCAGACCCTTACTGTGGCGCAATTTGCTCTACTTGGCAGTTCATTTGTTACCTGCAAATGCAAGAAGCAAATTAACTGCCAAGTAATTACTGCAGTTAGACAAATGTAGATGGCAAATTTGTTCCCCGGCAGCGAGAGGCAGGAAACAAGGAAAATGGTCTGAAGCCTGGACAGGGACAATGTCCCCCTGTCCGGGCAGCGGGGAGCTCCCAGTCCCCACTCCACAAGCATGGATTGCAGGCAGGGAGATCCCTGCATGAGGAGAGTTCCCCACCCAGCCTGAAGCTGGCTGGGACCTGCCTCTAACCAGGACAGTTCCCAGCCAGCCCCGGGCTGAATGGGGAAGTCTACATGAGCAGCCTGGAGGTGGCTAGGGACTGGCCCGTTTTGGACAGTCTGCTCTCAAATGAGTGCACGTGTAGACTCCTGCCCAGGGTGGGTATACTCCAGAGTAAATTACTCTAGAGTAAAACCATCCAGCAGCATTTGCATGTGAAGACATGCCCAGTGTGAAGGAAAAATGCATCTCAGCCTTAGTGTAATGTAAGTAAATGCCAAGGACAGTGAAAGGTTGCCTGGCTAAACCAGTTTGACAGTAGTGATGATGGATGTTTTGCTAAGGGATGAAAGTCAAGTCTAGTTCATGAATAAGGGTCTCAAAATACCATGCCCAAACTACAAACTGGAGTGAGTCATAGGAGAGACCTGTGGTAATTTAGCACAAGGTTTAGCAGTAGCTGTGCATTAAGAAAAACAGCTAATTGATTCATAGTCTTTGGAGCAAAAATCTTTCAGTGTAGATACCAGTATTTCTTAACCTCAGGAGGCCTGATTCATTCCTGTTCTCTTCCTCCTGTGATGTTGTTTACCTAAATCCCTAGGGTACTGTGAAAAAGCGTTGTGTGTAAATTGCTTTGCTTTGAGATCCTGAGATAGGAAGTGCTTCTACAAGTCCACTGTATTATAGATTGTTTCATACTGTATTCCCCAAGTGAAAAACCCAGCCTTTGATGTACAATTGTGTTGCATTACGATTTCACATTTTTAAAAACCACAATTCATCCTAAAACTTTAAAACACCTTTTAAACAACTGTTTTAGCCCTCTTCGTGGGGAAAATTGTCCTTGAATATATGAAGAAGAGTGAACTGATATAGTGCTTTTTTGCTGAGTTAATTCTGAGAGATGTCAAGGACTGCGGATCGTAAAATCTTAAACGTGATTTAAATGTCAGCCTTTAGTCATTTCATGGCAGATTTGTTTTAGCAAAGATGTCTAGCTAATGGCATAGCTTGCTTACAGGGCCAGACCTTCCCTTCACACCTCTGATAAAGTACAATTATTTGTTGATGAAAAAATATAGTGACGTATTAAAAACATGAGAACAGTGTAAAAAAGGAATTTAATGTTATTATAGGTAATTAGAAACTACTATATATTTTTTATATTTATGTAAAACAATACTAAGAATTTAAATGGATGTTCTGCAGAATTTCTACTTTGTTTCACAGCACTCATTAAAGGTACAGCCAGCTGCTTGAAGAGCACACAGTGGCTTGATGGTATTTATCTCAGTAGTACAGTGGTGTTTATGCTAACATAAAACAATATTGTCAAGTTGTAGTCTCCCTCCTTGTGCATATTTATGTATATGCACAATCTGAGGATAAACTATGGTCACAATAAGAATCATAAATCTAAATCTTCTGACTGCTAGGTGTATCAAGCTGACACACAACACCAATCAGTGTACCCATTGCATAGGTACTTGCACAGCTAGGTATAGAGATTCTACATGTGACTGCATTTCTGCATACATCTATGCTGCAATCAGGAGACATGACAGCAGCCTGGGGAAACGTATTTGAGGTAACAATTGTGCTTGAAGGACAGCAGCACGGGTTGTACAAGCCCACCAAGGAGACTCAGACAGCTGGCCTGCAGTACAGCCTGTCTTCTCTGTTGAAATACCACTCCTCCCTTTACATTGCACTTAGTGTTCTTCAAGGGTTCTGGCAGGTTTTATTTTTGTAGTATGTTATGGGTGGGCACATGTACACAGCCCCTTGGCAGGAATGTAGCAAAGATACCAGAAAGGCACCCTCCCCAGCTGATGGAAGTGAAGAACGGGGGGGAATCAGTAGTTAGTTGCTCCTTAGCTCCCCCACCCCCCCAAGACTCAGTGACCTGCTTTCCTGATCAGATGTTGCAACTGTGGCAACAGCTGACTGAAACTGAAGACTTCTGCAGCAGCTGCAGGGGCTACTCCAATGGTCTCTGGTAGGGGGCTGCCTGCCAGCTGGCAATTTTAACGAGCTCCTATTGCTTGAGTACCAAGAGCCCTTTCAAGCTAAAGGTGCAACTGAGGGAATGGCTTGTGTAACACTATTTTTTTTTTTTAAAGTCACACAAAGGGTATCATGGATGCCAGCAAGTGGGAGGGAGGGGAATGAATAACTGTTTTTCGTACAGTGCACTTGGCGTAAATTTTCAAGTGCTATTTCAGATCACCTTCATCTCATACCTTTAAACATACTTGATGCCTTCACTATGATCAATGCAAGAGTTGCTCATGGTAAGTGTAAATTCAAAAGATTACCATTTGTCGCTTTGACTACACTTCTGGTCTGGCAAAGTACATAGAGCTTTGAGGTTTTGACAATGGAAAAGTTTACCCGTTCCCACATATTTTTTTTTGTAAAGGATTATTTTGTTCTTTGGCTTTTTATATTTTGAACTGTCTTTTTCAGGAAATGAGCAGGCTATAGCTGTACTTGGAGGCAGTAACTTTGAGGTAATCTGAACAGCTGATTGAGTTTTTGGTGCACAACATGAGGAAGACCTCCGTGAGAGCATGTGATTTGAGTTCAAAATTGTAGACACTTTAGAGCATTTAAAGGTATCAACAGATGCTCTATGCTGCTTTATGCTTTTTGAGCTGGTCCATTCAAGTGTGCAGAAAGCAGGGCTGGATCTACTTTTTTCTTGATAATCTCCATTACAAACTGTCTGAGGACACGCAGATTCGGATGGCCTTGACTGCTTCAACTGAAGCATGGGTTTTAAGGAACTGGGTCGACTGCCAACTGGAATGGGGGAAGAGACAGTCAGGTCTTTTATTCTCTCTTTTAATACAGTTAGATGCTGCATTTTTTCCATTTCCAAGAGACGAGATATTAGTTTCACCATAGAGTCTTCTGGAGGTGGAGCAAAGAGAACCTTCCAGTTATCCCATTTGGATAAGGCTAACTTTTGTAAATCCAATTTATTGAAAGGTGATGGAAGAAAATCAGGGTATGAGAATTCTTCATTTTGGCGCTTGTAGGAAGCTTCTTTAGTGTTTTCTGCAGTTTTTGGTCTTAAGTTCAGAGTCGTGTTTTTAACACAAGTAGGCAAAACATCATCTGCTTTTTCACTTTCAGATTCATTACTTTCCTCTGTCAAAAGCTTGTTCTTTGAACTACTTTTTCCTAACATCAAATTCTGCCTAGACACAAATTGTGTATTGTTACTTTCTGCAGCAGAGTAAGAGCTAGAGGCAATGGCTTCATTTCTGGCCTTGCAAAAATCCCCATCTCCATGTGTCCAGGAGACTCCTAATGCTGCCTGCTCCACTCCTGGATAAGACGCAGTTTGATATTTGTTCATATGAGCCCCCAACAATGTACAATTAAGAGTAAAGAAATTTAAAGAAATATCTTTCGAGCCGGAGACAGTTTTCACTTGAGGTTTACTGATGTCTCTGGGAGGAAGAAAAAAGAGAGAGAAAATGTAGGGTACTTTTTCATTTGGGGAGTTATAGGAGAAAATGCACCACGTATAGAAGTCTAAAGCTACTGAAGTCCCTAGGAATTTTGACATTGCTTGCCTACCTATAGGTTGAGGAAGTAGATGTTAGTGTCCCCATATTACAAGAAAAGCAAAAACTGCTGTTCAATCGATATTGAAAGACTAAATTACATCATTGGCTCCATCGTACATGATATATCTGACAGTGAAATAACCCACTTATATGGGAATTTTGATGCCTTCTACAAACTAAGGGTCAACTTCTGCTTGCCTAATAAGGAAAGTAGTCTTATTTTTTGCAATGAAACAGAATCAAAATTTGCCATTAAAGTATTACAAGTGGATTTTCTTCTTGCTCACTTGAGTCCCATCCCTTCTATTCTTCTTTCCCCAACGGACTTTAAGGCCAAACATTCAATCTGTGACTTGCCTGCTGTATTGTCACTGAAACATAATATGAATTTTATCTTATTCCAGGTTCTTTAACATGTATATCCAAAAGGGAAGTTTAACTCTTAAGTTAACAGGAGTTATATAGTTAGATCCTTTAGGGCTGGAAACGGGCCCTAAAGGAAGATTCTTT